TCATATCCTTCTTGATAGTGTAGCGACCAGAACTGCACACAGTATTCCACCTATGGCCTAACCAATGTTTTATAAAGTTGTAACAAGACTATTTTTGCTCCTATATTCTGCACCCCGGCCAATGAAGGCAAGCATCCTGTATGCTACTTTCACCCTATCTCCTGTGCTGACACCTTCAGGAATCTATGGACTTGTATGCAAAGGACCCTTTGCTCCCCAGTACTCCCTAGGAACCTACCGTTCATTTTGTATGTCCTTCCCTTATTAAACCTCCCAAAATGCATCAGCTTGCACTGATCAGGATTGAATTCCATCTGAACCCTGCCCACATCTATATTCAAGCACAAGTTACTATGTACATCTATGATAGGTCTATCCAATTCATACTTTTGCTCTTAATGTACTGATTAAAGATCTTCAGATTTTCCTTAATTTTGACAGCTAAAATATATTTGTATTGTTTCTTTGCTTTCCTTTTCCTCCTCACTCCTGTACATTGTATACTTTTCCAAGCTTCTAAAGATTTTGTTTTGAGATTGCCATAAATTCAATTTTTCTCTGTTTTATCTTGACCTACGTACTTCTGGATATCCACAGGGAATTGTAGATTTGGCAATACTGTGCTTTTCTTTCTAGGGACTCGTTTACACAGTGAGTGTGTAGAATCTTGCTTTTGAATGCATCTCACTGATTTGTTACTGAATTTCCTTAAAGCAGCTGTAACTTTGTGAGATTACCATCAACTTTGTAAAATTTTTCTTTTCCCAAAATAATAATTTTATTGTGGTTCTGTCTTTGTCCCTTTCCACATTGAGGCTAAATTTAACTGCATTATGATCATGACCTTCAAAATGATCACCCACTGCTACTTCACCTACCTGCCAAATTTCATTTAAGTGGTAGAAGTTGAGAGTTTGGAAGGTGCTGTTGAAGGAGCCTTGTTGAGTTGCTGCAGTGCTTCATGTAGATGATACACACTGCTGCCACTGTTTGGTGATGGACAGAACAGCTGTACTAAAATTGTGTCAAGCAGCATGGCTCATTGTGCAACTTCAGTATTTCAGATGAGATATTGACAAGGCACAAATTTTGCTGCATCCTGTGTGTTTGGCTTTTTCTTGAGATTACATGTTGTGAATTGAATTGGCTGAAGACTGGCATCTGTGACACTGGGGACCTCGGGCAGAGGCTGAGATGGATCATCGACCTGGCTGATGGTGGTTGCAGTTGCTTTAGCATCGCCTTTTGCACTGATGTGCTAAACTCCACCATCATTGACAATGAGGAAATTGGTAGAGCATTCTTCTCCAGTTAATTGTTTAATTGTTCATCCTCAAGCCCAAATAAATGTGCCAGAACTTAGATAAGATGCCAAGAGTTCAATTCTGCAGAAATCCTGGAGAAGTGTACAAAGTGCAATAATGATTTTAAAAAGAACATTAACAAAGCAAAGAAAGAGTATGAGGAAATATTGACAGCCAAAATCAATCAAAAATGAAGATTTGAAATGCTCAAAGAGGAAGAGAATAGCTAAGGAAAAAGTAAGGCCCATTAGAAACCAAAAAGCTAACCTCTGTATGGAGGAGGAAGAGATGTCCATTATTACTGATTAATACTTTGTCCCCTTGCTTTGTCAAGAAGGATGCAATGTAGTTGAGAAGGAGGAGTGTGAAATATTGAGGGAGATGAACATAGAGAGGAAACAAATATTCAGGGGTGTTAAATCTTTGAAAATGGATAAAACAGGAGTAGGTGCAATACTTCCAGCAATGCTTCCAGAAATGCTGATGAAATGTTAAATGAAGTAATGGATGAAATAGTGGAAGCTCTCACCATAATTTTCCAGTCCTTTCTGGCTGCAGCTATGGTGTCAGTCATCTGGAGCACTCATAATATGCCTTCCTTTAAACAGGGAGAAAATGATAGATTGAATCATTAAAAGTCAGTCAGCCTAACGTCAGTGGTCAACAGATAATTCCCAAAGGATCATCCCAATACATTTTCTTAATTCTCATGTTTACTTAACCAGCTGGCCCTCATCAGCCTGTCTGTGGCTAATATTTTCATCCAACACTAGTGTTGATTGGAGGTAAATGTTTTGATACCTCGAGTTAAATGTGAAAATGTTCTAACATTGAAGTGTTACCTACTTCCCACCTACTTCCAATAACCTTAGGTTATTGTGAGACAAGGGAATCTTAAAAAAAAAAATCAGTACTCCACCTCCACTGCCTCCTGAGAGAGACTGTTTCAAAATCACACAACACTCAAAAAATACCCCTCTTCGCTGTCCTAATAGGGTGATCCCTAAGTTTTAAACAGGATCTCCTTGTTCTGAATTCACCCACAAGAGAAAGAATTATGTCTACATTCACTTTATACAGGTTTTGCTTACTTTAATCAGGTCATACCTCAGTCCTCAAAACTCTAGCAAAAACAAGCCCAGCCTGTCCTGTTTCCTCAAGACAACCTGCTAATTTCAGGTATTGGTCTAATAAACTTCTCTGAATCGCCTCCAACGGAATTATATCCTTCCTTAAATAAGGAGACCAAAACTACCACAGTATTTGAGATGTGATCTCGCCATAGATATTTTCTAATCAACCTGTTCAGAGATGTTATTACACACCTCCTGGAGTTTCTTTTTTAAACTCTCTATCCTTTCCTGCTGTTCACTGACTTTCATTTCCCATTTTTTTGTTTGGCTTATCTGTCTCAACTCTTCCCCTGCTTTGCCACATCTACTCAAGCTTTACCTTCATCGAATAAATGTGACATTTCAAACATAAGTGAAATCAATCTTAAAAGTTATTTTAAAAAGTGCTGTAATTAGTATATGCATTCTCTGCCTGTCCTTGATGCTGGAATAATTTTCTGCAGTTACTAATAATGAAAACTTTTCGAGCAGTTGATAGCCAAATGATGTCTGGGTATGGCTCCAAGATTATTGCATACTTGAAACAGGATATATTTAGTAACAATTACACAAATCAACACTTGCTGTATCTTCTATCTCTATCCATCTCATCAAATAGAGTCTTCTGCATTTTACCTTGTCCAATTCATTCTTTGCAACTCTGCCTCCACAGGCAGAGTTCCAAGATACGGTAGATTTCAAACTCATTTTTTCTCTAAGTGCAAAAGCATTTGGGGTTTTCTTGGGCAACCTGATTTAGGGCAGTGACAATCTAAGTCAGGTGGACCAGGAAGGTTCCACGTTTTAACTCTAAAGTCTCTAGTGAGTAAACTGTTTTTTGCCAAAGTGGTGGTATTAAAATTGAGCTATTCTTTTCTGAATTAGCAAGGGACTATTTAGGTGGTGATTCTGCTCTGGATTAGTACATAGTGACCCTGCATACATAAAAGATAGTCGAGAGAATAGGACGAGGCTTTGTTACGATATCCAATGTGGCTGATTAACCTTCTATTATCCCATGTGCAAATTGAAGACAGTCTCTTGAGCAGGTGTTTTTACATATTTTCTTCAAAATGCGAAATCAGAATTGGCAACCAGCTCAACCTGATAGCATAAGTGCTGGTCAAAGATTCCAGTAGCCTTATTTTTCTCTTTGGTGTCATGGCCACAGTACATAATACAAGGAAGATGGTCACATCAGAATTGTCCCTTGTTGATTCAGTTGAAACCTAAAAGACATCTGGAAAAACAGTGTATTCAAAATGTTTGACCTTTTAAAAGACTGAAGTAGAGAAGAAAAGAGAAAGTGGCATTTGATTTATTTTTAATCAATTCTCTCTGCAGGTCTGCACTTTGAATATCCCTATAAAATTTGATACAAATTTGCTTAATGTGTACTCCTTTATGGATTTGTGTTTTTATTATAAGCAAAACTGTTTGTTCACTATCACAGGATGAAAGCACTTATCCTTGTGTGTATATATTTGTTTTACTGCTACATCATGTATTGCTTGTAAGATTGAGATCTCATTCACCAGGAAACATTAGGCCAAGTTTTCTTTCAAGATTAATTACCCTTTTAAAATGTGTGTTTGATGTCTCCCTTTGGTGTATCCTGGCTTGGTTAATCCACTTTGACCTGACCCGTTGGCTATTACTGCAATTGCCATGGTAAAATCTTTCTCCGTGATGTATGGGCTATAGACGTCAGCCTGTGGTTTTTCATGTAGATGGATTCAATTAAATAGATTTTTACTGATGAGTAGAATAAAGTTTAAGCATTTGTCAGAACCTAAACAAAACTGTCCAGGCTTTCAACTCAACTAAAAGGCTTGTCTGGTATTCAGTTTTTAATTTCCCACTGACTCTTGAATATGTAAGTTAAAGCAACTTTTCAAGTCTCATCTACTGTAGTTGGCCTGTAGTACTGTGCTCTTACCTTTGATGTAACTTTCCCACATTTAAGCAATGGAATGTTTGAGGTTCCAGTTCTCCTATCATCGCCCAAATACAAGTCATCTAATGGTGATTCAATTGAATTGAAAAGATTGACATATCCAGTTGTTCTTGTACATTAAGCGTTTTTACTCATGCATGGACACATGTCTTAACGTTACCTGGCACAGCTGTGTAACAACCCTGCTTTAAATCAAATCCTCATTTTAAGACCTTACATTGCAGAAACTATAATTTTTAAATGAACCTATTGAGCACCATGTAACACTTTATGCACTCCCTGTAAAGTGGGGAATTCATAAAGTGATAACTTGGGTAATGCCAGCACTAGGGTAGGAAGTGGTTTGGTTAAGACTGTAAAAACCATGATGTACATATATTCTTACATGTAATGTGTATTACCAATATCCCTAATGTTTTTGAATTTAGTGCATTCTGAAATGTACCTTATCCTTAAATTAGAAGTATATAACAAGGACATACATTAAGTGCAGAAATATTTAAATAACTATGCTGATGCATTTGTTTGCTTTTAAAACAGAAGCTGTTCTATATTTTTATAAGATTAGATATGCACACTGAACTGTGAATGCTTTATGTAACTCTATTTTGTTTATACTTAAACTAGATATGGAGAAACAGTTTCAAGTAGTGATTCACGGGATTGAACCAATGCTGGAAACACCAATTCAGTGGCTCAGTGAACATCTGAGTTACCCAGACAATTTCCTGCATATTAGTATCATTCCTTTACCTAAAGACTGAGGAAGCAGGCAGCTCTGAACAGAAAAAAAAGCAAACCACCCCTGGACTTGCCAGAACAGTTCTATCTTCTACTTCTACAGAACTTGTCGGAAGCAACTTGACCAGAAATACTCACTGCTGCAAGCCAAACAGGAAGAGATCCCACAACCTGATAATGGGCTGGTCCTAGTTTGCATCACTACTATAATTCTGCTGTCGTCATAAAACCTCACTTGCAGCATGAAAACTTCTCAAGACCACTTGTATCATTTTTCTAGTAAAATGGTAAACATGAAATTTGCTAAGGCACCAAGCAGTGGAAACATGTAGTGTTTGTACTGTCCTTCTGATTAACAAATAACCAGGGGTATTTCCAAAAGTGACCATGACCATATTGAAGACTGAGAGAATGGAAAGAAAAATGTTTGTAATTTCCAAAGGATAGTAATGGCTTGCAGGAAAACAAGTAGCATTCTTTGCAGTGATGCTGGAAAACATAATACAGAAGTTGTTCAAAGTCTCTATTTCTGTGTTTCTCTTTAGCTTCTCATTCTTTTGCCCTTCTTCTATGCATTCACCCCTCCTCCCTTTTCACTTTTTATCTGTTTCCCTTTCCCCCACTTTTTCACTTTCTCTTTCCCTATCCCCCTCCTCCTCTGTCTTGCTGTCTTGTCTCCTTTCCCTGCTGTACAATTCCAGTTATTGGGCTTGATGTGTTAAAACCTTGACACATTTTTATCCATTAAATGATTCCCAACCTTAAATCAAGCATTTTTGCTTAGTGCAGTTGTTTGCATTTAAGATTCTGAATTAGACACAATTTGGTATTTTTACATATATTCATATGGCATTTGTTTTGTAACTTAGATAATGAGAACATATAATTCTTATCTCAGTTGTTAGACCGTATAGCATTTTAAGCATGTCTTTTGCATTTCAGTAAGTACCTAACACTCCATATTTTGTCAGAATCATGTACTTTACACTTCCTTTTGTCCCTCTAAATAAAAGACTCAAAGTCAATCATTTATCGTGCAGGTGACTGTGAAATATCCTCTAATCAAATTTAGATTCCTTGTTTGTTGAATAGCCTTACTTTTGCAAGAGTTTTTATGGAGCATGCTATTAGTGGGTTTGGGTTACTTGTAACAGCAGCCTTGGAAATTGCAGTCTGTAATTGTAATGGAACCAAATTTGTTTCCCAAAGCTGCATTCAACATTGCGGCTAAAAAAAAAAATTGGGGCGCAAGGAAAGGAAATACAGGAATCATTATTACTAAGTCAGGAGTTGCACATCAAAGGACAAGAGATACTTTCACGGTACTAATTATTAAATAAAACTCCGGTCTTTGGAAAATATCTACCAATGTCCTTGCTTTGCTATAAGTTGAAATGCTGATTCCTTTGGTTGTAGCTTATTGTGTGCACAGCTGTGCCTGTAGCAAATTGTGACTGTAAACAGGAGAAAAATCTGGCATTTAGAATTCCAATTTGTTCCAAAACTATGTGCAATAAATAATTTGATTATAGTTGCCAGACTTTGGAAGTGGCGGGGGTGACAAATTTCCAGATATTTCCTTACAAACGAACAACTTCCATTGATTCTGTAATTGACTTGAACCATTTACCAATAATGCATTTCTGTATATTTACTGGTATCCATGAATGTTTACTGTTAGCTATGCTGTTTCATAAGTGTGGAAAATTTCTAATTTGCAGATCCAAGTGAGCATTCAACAAATGAAATTAAAATTAAAACTTACCATTTGTGGTGAGATACCTATCTACTCTGAGAATAAAGAAACCTTGGGGTCTTAGTAAAACATAGCAATTTGAGAATGCTGCACTTGGTTTAGACCAAGTACTGATTTATACATGTTTTCTTATTTTTCCACTTCTGTGGTTCACTATTCAACCAGTCAATGAAGATGCTCACTTGCATAATATATAGTATGCATCTCCCATGTGGCCTTTTAACAGAGTTGTAAACTTTTACTTAGTTTACCATTGCTATATGAATGGCTTCTGACTTCTTTCAGGTATGCATGCTATTGGTGTCCTTGGAAGAAGAGCTAATATGATGAGAGTTATCATCTGCAATGTAGCATTTCATTTTTTTGTAGCAGGAAGGTGGGTGACATGAACACTTTTTTTTAATTTGCCATGAAATAATGATTCTGTTAAGGGCTTACTTAAAGGTTTAATGCGTTGAATGAAAATAAACAACCCAACTTTTTTATGTAGTGAAATCTTTTATTAATGGAAAATAGCTTGGTGTATGATCACTGCCCCTTTCTGGTTACCGTAAAGAAAATACTTAAGGCATTATTTTGTTGCTTTGTGATAATGGTCAAGGTTCAGGTTGGTAGATGTTTGTTCCACCCATTGTACACATTCAACTGGTGAAAACTTTCATCTAATATCTTGTACTCTTGTCCAAATAATGTAACGCAATACTTGTGATACTTAAGTACTCTTGTTACTTGTTTTAATTATGCAACAAGACTAGTTCTTTTGATAATAAAAAAAAAAATCTTGGCCTTTTACTTCACATTCTTACTGTGGTTTTTTTCTCTTATTTTTGGAATGTACTTTCAGTACCATTCAATGGGATAGTACTTGAATTTTAAATTTCACTGTGCTCCACCCAGCAGTCTTTTGTAAATGCAAAGTATTTAAAAGATGTATAACTTTTAATTGCTTCAAAATTTTGCTCACATATTAAAATTAAGTTTGTGCAACAAATTGTGTTGCCATTTGGTTAAATATAATGCGCAGTTTTATTTTGACTGTTTGAAAATTGAGCTTTACAAAATGGTCTTGTACAATATGCAGGATTACCAGGGTGCTGTTAAGTCCTATCTACTAGCACACGCAAGCTGTGCTATAAAACACCCCGATCACTACACTAGCCAATAGTTGAATTATACCATTTATCAGATGCACTGCAGCACTTCAGTATGGCTTCTTTGACAGCACCTTCCAAACCTGTGACCTCTACCGCCAGGAAAGACAGTAGCAGTAGGTGCAGAGGAACATCACCATTTGTCAATTCCTATTACAGTTCTAGATCATTGTGACTTGGAACTATATTGCTGTTACTTCTCTGCTTGCTTAAAATCCTGAATCTCCTCCTCAGTGGCATTGTAAATTTAGCTTGATCCCAAGGACTGCCCTGCCCTGTCCTTTCAAGAACAATTAGATACGGGCAGTAAATGTTGATATTTAATGAATACAAATAATGGGATGCTAATATGCCTTGTTTATATTTATTCATGAATACTCACTCAAGTGAAGTGCAAATGACAGCCAGTTCCATGCAATAATCTGCAGTATTCCAGAAAATTGCAAAGAACAAAATTGAAGGGAATACAACAATCAAAACCTATTTTTAGCTGTTCAGTGCTGTAGTTCAAAATCAAGGGAAGTGACAACTGTTGCGTTAACTACAACACCCATAATGCATCAGATTCATCACTGAAGGTGATTGCTGCCTCTTGTTAGAGAAAGATATGATCAAAGCCCATGCATTTCTTACCTACTTAGCTAAATCACAGAAGAGCTACTTAGATTTTTATGATTACATTATTCATAAAAATGACATTGTCAAGCCCATTGGGATAATATGATAAAACGAATGGTTAAGAATGTTTATGCATAGACAAAGGTCACTAAGACCTTTAGGAAAACTGACTAATTTTTAGAATGCTTTATATCCTGGGGACACCCCAGAACATTCTGTAACAGTTGGAATACTTTTGAAGTGCAGTCACTATTGTTATGCAGGTAAACATGTCAAACTAGTCTGTCCTGTTTCATAAATCATCTTAAACTTCGAAGTCTTTTTCTCAATTTGTTTTCTCTCTAGAAATGTATGCAGTTGTCTCCCGAGCTTGTCTATGTTGTCTCCTCCAGTTCTATTCTCCAGTAGCTTCTCCAAATGCATGTCCTTCACATTCCTAATATTAACCTCTATATTATTTTGAATCTTTTAATACTTTGATTTTATCAATCCTGTTCAGATATGTGATGAACACAGGAACAAAAACAAAGTTGCTGGAAAAGCTCAGCAGGTCTGGTAGCATCTGTGAAGGAAAAAAACAGAGTTAACGTTTCGGGTCCGGTGACCCTTCCTCTGAGGAAGATGCTGCCAGACCTGCTGAGCTTTTCCAGCAACTTTGTTTTTGTTCCTGATTCACGGCATCTGCAGTACTTTCGGTTCTTATGTGATGAACATAACTGGAGTAGATGGGAGCTGAATCCAGGCCTTCTGGCCCAGAGGTAGGGAAACTGCAACTGCACCACAAGAGCCCCTATCAATTCCCTTTGTAATTTTAATGGGATAGCAATCTATCTATCTAAAGTAAATAATCCCAATCACTTTAACTTTTTCTCAGTAATGACATTTTTGATACCTGAATGATCTCTGGTTACTTCTTTGTGATTAGTGATATATTTCCTATTGTTAGGTTACCAGATACATGTTCTTGGACAGGTTCAGTTAACATGATGCTATTACAGTTCTTTATTCATTCAGCCTCATTACCAGATCCAAAATAACATGATGTTGTGGATCTAACCAAACATGTTGCTCTAGGAAATATCCTGAACACACTTTATGAATTCTTCCACGTAGCTATGTTTGCCAATTTGATTTTCTCAATGGACATGAAGATAAAAGTCATCCGTGATGAATGTGCTGTCTTTCTTACATGACCTCTCTATCTACTGATTCATTCTGTGGCCTATAGTAGAGCTGCTGATATGGGTCCATAGACTATTCCAGTTAGTGTTTTCTTTCCCTTGTGATTTCTTAACTCCACTGCATGGATTTTGTCTTCTAATCAGAGATCATTTCTTGCTCTTGCATTTATTCCATCTTGTCCTGACAAAGCTACTCCCCCACCCTTTCCTTCCTGCCTGTCCTTTCAAAATGTCATATATCCTTAAATATTTAGTTCTCAGCTTTGATATTCTTGTAACCATGTCTCCGGAATGGCACAAAAGCATATCTTTAATGTCTGTTTGTGCCATCAATTAATTTATTTTGTTTCAAATACTATAAATATTTCATTAAAGAGACAATGATTATGCCTTCTTAACCTTCTTTTTCCCTTTGACCATGGAATTCCCTTCCCTACAGCAGTGTCGGTCAAACTACAGCCCATGGACTGCAACAGTTCAAGAAGGCGGTTCACCACCACCTTCTCAAGGGCAACTAGGGATGGGAAATAAATGCTGATCCAGCCAGTAATACCCATATCCAATGAATGAGTTTTTTTTGTTGTTGTTTTTTTTTCTATGTAGACTCAGTCCCTTCCTGTTCTACTCCGGGGTATCACCATCTAAATCGCTATCTAGCACTGCTGCCATGTACTTTTGCTTTGTTAGCTTACAGAGCCTCTGTCCAGAACCACAACTTCAGTTATTAAATTCACCGGGATACTGGTTCCACTTTAATTCAACTGCAGCCCATCCCACGAGAACAGCTCCCTTCTACCCCAGTACTGGTGTCAGTACTCCATGAGCTGAAATCCATTCCACCCACACCTAACTTTGAGCTACGAATTTAACTCTGACTTTATTTACCCTGTGCCAGTTTGCCCATGGCCAGGCAGTTACCCTAAGAGTATTACCTTGGAGATTGTGCTTTCTAATTTAGCTCCTAAATCTTTCAGTAGAACCTCCTTTTAAGTCCTATCAATATCATTGTTACCAATTTGGATGATGATAACTAGACCTCTCCCCTCACTACCCAAGTTGCTGTCCCGTCCTGAGGAGATTCCTTAACCCTGGCACCAGTCTCTGGGACTTGTTCACAGTTAAAGGAAAAGTATCTATCCCTATAATTATATTGTCTCCTATCACTACTACATTCCTATTTACTTGCCCCACTTGAATGGCTTTCTGTATAAGGTACTGTAGTCAGTTCACTCAATCTTCTTGAAGTGCCCACTCTCGCCCACATAGCTTGCAAGAGCCTCCTATCTGTTAGATAATTGCAGAGACCGAGGCTCCTCCAATCCCTTGGGTCCCAGACCTTCCCCACATGCCATCACTCTCCTGTCCACAATTGCAAATCAAATTTGAAACACCACATCTGAGGGTTATGACTTCCTTCAGGAGCGAAGTGTCTGCATAACATCCCCTTCTTTACAGTAGCATTGTCTGCAGCTCAGATTCCAGCTCCATGACTGTGAAGTTCCTAGATCTACAAATGCTTACTACAGGTGTGCTCACTGTGGATCATATTTGTATCCAGCAGAGGCCACATGCTGCAGCAGCAACACTTTGTTAATCTAGCCACCACTATAGTTATTCATTTCACTTATTAGTTACTGTATTATCCCTGTCCTTTATACTTGAAATTAATTTTTTAAACGCTAGTATCAATCTTCTCTCATTAAAGAGAGATTGAAAAATGACTAAAGCTCTAAACACAAATCAAAGACTTTTAATTTCAAGATTAGAAATGCCAGTCTTATGCTTTCCTGCACTCGCATCATGTTGTAGTTTGTGATGTTGCTCTGTCGCTGGCCTGAATTCATAGAATATGGAACAGTACAGCTCAGGAACAAGCCCTTCAGCTCACCATGTTCTGTTCTGACCATGATGCCATTCTAAACTAATCCAATCTGCCTGTGCATGGTCTATATCAGTCTATTCCCTTCCTGTCCATGTGTCTGTCTAAATGCCTCTAAATGTTGCTATCTTACCTGCTTCTACCACCTCCCTTGGCAACAGTTTTAAAAAAATCTTGCCTCGCACATCTCATCTTAATCCTATGCCCTATGGTATTTAACGTTTCCACCGTGGGAAAAAGACTCCAACTATCCAGGCTATCCATGCCTCCCATAATTTTATTTGCTTCTATTTAGTTGCCCCCTCAGCCTCTGATGTAGCAAAAATAATCTAAGTTTGTCGAACCTCCTCTTGTAGCTTCTACATTCCAATCCAGGCAATATCCTGGTAAATCTCTTTTGTGCCCTCTCTAAAGCCTCCACATCCTTCCTACACTGTGGAGACCAGAACTGCACACTGCACTCCAAATGTGACCTAACTAAAATTTTGTACGACTTGCCAGAATTTACACTCAGTGCCCCAAGCATGCCATATGCCTTTTTCATTTATTCATTCACTCACGGGATAAGGGCGTCACTGGCTAGGCAGCATTTATTGCCCATCCCTAATTGTCCAGAGTCAAGACTCAACCACATTGCTGTGGGTCTGGAGTCATGTAGGCCAGACCAGGTAAGGATGGCAGTCTCCTTTCCTAAAGGACATTAGTGAACCAGATTGGTTTTTCCGACAATGGATTTTTGATCATCATTACACTCTTAATTCCAGATATTTATCGAATTCAAATTTCACCTTCTGTAGCGATGGGATTCGAATCCATGTCCCCAGAACATTATTTGGGTCTCTGGATTGACAGTCCAGCGATAATTCCACTAGGCCATCGCTTCCCCCTTTACCACCTAATCCAATTGTCTTGCCATTTTCAGGGAGCTACGGCCTTACACTCCAACACCCCTCGGTATATCAG